CATAAATATAATGTAATAGCTTCACACTTTGGTTTTGTATTTTAATGCCTCATTTTTCCCCTATATTACAACACTTTTATTACTAATAGGGTTTAGAGGTGGCAATCATCCCAGTGAAACTATTTGTGTGTCATGTCAATCTTATGTTCTATCAATCTGTGCTCTTTTTAACTAACCTGTTTAGCATAATTAGTGACATTATGGTGCACTGAAGGAAGATTAGATGCAGTATTTAGTTAAGAATCAGTTCATTTAGAGCAGGGCTTCCAAACTAGATTATTTTCATCTGGGCTAGAGGAGGAGAAACCCGGATTAGGAACTGGATGTGTTGAGTGACAGCATACCTACCTGGTACATAACAATCTTAGCTATGCAGATGTGACAGGCAGTGACAACATAGAGATGGAAGGCAGAGGACCAGAAAGAAAGGCAGAGTGCATTGCAAGCTGTAAGGGTAGATTTTGTTTTTCACACTTTATAAAATAAAGATTTTAATACTAGTAAGGCTATTGCAAAGAAAGTGTAATGGGTTGGTACATGATGGAAACAGAACTTGCACTTTAGCTATTCGAGATAGAGAGGGTTATATATCTGAATATTCTCTAACATTAATAAACTCATATATTCTATGCAGTATGGGAAAAGACACTTAAAATAATCCTTTTCCTGGTACTACTGTTGAGATCAGGGGTGTTAAACTTGTGGCCCGTGGCCTGGATGCATCATGCACTGGCCACGCCCATGCCCAGTTTAGTGAAGGGGGAAAAAGTTAAGATATGTCATGTGACGACAATGTGACCCCTGCAAGTTTGACACCCCTGGTCTAGATAAAAAGAATTCTTATATTCAGACAAACTAAAAATATGACAATCCACTTAACAATTGGAAGTAGCCTGGTGAACAAATGTATCATGTCTCTTGTAACAGGAAGGAGAGCCTGAACCTCTGAAATTGTTAATTACCTAACACTTATCTAAGGAAAGCACAAAAGAACAAGATTTATTCTCAAATATTCAATCTGAAAAATATTTTTGACATATTTGCCTATACTATGATAATTTAAAAATGGTTGTATTGAGTGTTATGTTGAAATAAACTTATTAAAAAAAGGTTCATAGTGTTCTAAAATTGGTTTTGGGACTCATTAATTGCTAACCATCTCACCAGTTTTGTTTAGTTTTTGTTTCCCCAGCCTGAGCTGAAAAGTGTTGAAAAGGTCAGCATTGGAATCAAGTATGTAGGAAATTACCAAGTACATATTACTCAACTGAAAGACACTTGAAGGTACAAATGACCTTAATGGGGAAAACTCTGTTGTAATTATCCTGGAGATGATCAGAAAGGATGTCAAAATGACCATTCTTGGCACTGTGCAAAAGCAGGAATGATCTACTACTTTAATCCAAGATTTTTTAACCGTACACTCACACATACTAGGTAATTGCAAATTTCACTGAGATGAGAGAAAATACAAATACATGCACATATATGCATCCCTATAGTTCTGTATTTTCTACAATTTCACACACATGCATATATGTATATATATGTATATGTGTGTAAAATTATATATGCATATTGTGTGTTTTTGTGTATGTGTGTGTTTATTATACATCCTTTACAGCCTTTTTCTGATCACTGGAATCTCAGTAATTTAACATAGGCATCTACTTTAAAAAATTCTTTCTTTCTTTCTTTCTTTCTTTCTTTCTTTCTTTCTTTCTTTCTTTCTTTTTCTTTCTTTCTTTCTTTCTTTCTCTTCATTTTTTCTCCTTTCTCTACTGAACTGATAAAATCAAAATAAAGAGATCTGTACTCTAAAGCAAGCAATATTGATAACATTTTGCTCTACAATATGAAAATCTGTGTAACATGAACACATATCCTGTGTATGCACAGTTGAAAAAAGCTTCTTGAAATCATGTAAATAACTTGGTATCTATCTATCTATCTATCATCTATCTATCTATCTATCTATCTATCTATCTATCTATCTATCTATCTATCTATCTATCTATCACCTATCTATTTAGAAGGCTGTGTTCATTACTGTGAAATACAGTAGATCAGAATGTGGCAAGGAATTTTGTTTTCTTCGATAGAGTGCATTGTGAGAGTATCGTATCAATGAACCATATTCCAGTAACTCTAAAACATGAACTAGAGTTACCTTTAATGCATAAAAGAGGTTGACTTTTTGAAGATACTCTTCAAAATCCTTTTAAAAATCCTTCAACAAAAGCAAATGATACTGGTCATTCTTTTGTATAAAGCATCCAAAATTCAAAGAAGGCAACAGTGCATCCTTCCAGATCATCTCTGATTAAAGCTGTTGAGTTTCTCTGTTAAGGCCATAACCTGCTGATGCTCAGAGATGGCAAATGCAGTGAAAAAAGCTCCATGAGAGTGTAAGATGACATTACAACCACATAAATACATGCAAAACAGTAACAACAGTCAAATGCACAAGAACTATTTTACCATATATCAATTTCTGTTACTTAAAACAATTTTGTTTGTCTCTTTATATAGGAACAATAGTATTTTCCTCCTGACTTTCTTTAGTTCTCTTCTATTTTCCCCACCCTTCCAGATCAAGCAATATGGCTAATTTATTCCCAAGAGTTAATAATCCAAATGTGAGCAAAATGTCTTAAAAATATAAAAAGAATGTCAGTCAGAGGGACAAAAAGTAATATATGTAGAATACTCTTATTTATTTATTTATTCATCCTTTTTGTACACATGCATTCAAGGTGGCATTCCAGGCAAACTTCAGCTATGCTGAATAGGATATTTCAGATACCTTTAGGTTCAGAACCATATTTATTGGGTGGATAAATAAATCTTACTTAGCAAGATTCAGTTTTAATGCATTTTTCTCTTACAAGTTCAGTATATTTCATATTCAATTTCTTCCTGTTCCTGTCTAAATTTGAGTAGATATTTAGATTCTCTATATAGGAAGATGATATATATATGTATGTATGTATGTATATTATAATGTTGTTTTTCTCATCCATTGATCAAATAATGAACACACAATACTCCAAATTGAAAAAGTAAAAATTTGCTATTTGGGCAATTTTACAGAAAATAATGACACTACAAAGAATTCAATCTGAACTGGTATAGTTTTCTTTATATTTTTATTGATTAGAGGGGAAGTTTTGCTATTTGTAGATTATATTAGCAATAGCACTTACACTTATATACTGCTTCACAGTGCTTTTACAGCCCTCTCTAAGCAGTTTTACAGAGTCAGCATATTGCCTCCAACAATCTGGATCCTCATTTTACCCACCTCAGAAGGATGGAAGGCTGAGTCAACCTTGAACCGGTGAGACCTGAACTGGCAAACTGCTGGCAGCCGGTGATCAGCAGAAGTAGCCTGCAGTATTGCATTCTAACCACTGTGCCACTGTGGCTCTTTTTATTAATGATAGCAATAAAGTAGAGCATTGGCAATAAATAGAAACTAAATATATTTGGGGAAAAATTGGAAGTATTATCAAACAACAGGTAGGAATAACTAAAATATTGTTTTATGTATGGGAAATTTGGCAGAACATGGCAATATTATCAGAACATGGACATGCTTTACTTCACTATTAGTTTTACATGTTATTTTTTCACAATCATCTGTAAGAATGGTTGTCCAAGGGGACCAAAGAATGAAGTGTACATCATAACACGTACTCAATCCCTTTCCTACTTGTGTTATGAAGTCATAAGTATCTAAGGGTGCATTTTGAATTGTGGTGTCACAATGCATATTTGACAAAAAAAATAATGTGGACTCCAGTTTCTTTTAGCATCTTAAGAATACTATAAGGTTATTCTATTACTTGACTTAGGAAAAAACAACTTTTGACTTAGTCAAATATAGTATTAAAAATATTTCCAATACAGACTATATTTAAATATTTTATATAAAAAACAAGGATATTATTAAAATTAACTGAAATGACCTTAATTTAAGCTAGGTTTCTTTTTTTTTTTTTATAAGTATCACAACATTGTCATCAAAAACCTCTGACCACCACAAGATAAGCCAGCAATTGGCAACAGGAGGTACCATGTCAATGTGACCATTTTAGATGGCATCCATAGGATTCCAAAATTAAATACAATTTAATTTATTTTTATACTAAAATGGCATTCATAATATTATGATTTAAATCTTTATTTCAACATTGAAAAATAAAAATAAAAATAAGAATCTTTGTAAGAACTTTGTGAGATAAACAGGAAAGATGCCAAAATCTCAGATTAACATTGACACAAGAAACTACTTTGTGGGCCACAGGTCAGAAATTTTTGTTAGCAATCCACAGTGGTACATATGATTCAAATTGTTCCTTTGTTTGGTTCCTTTATGGAAAATCAATACAGAAATGATAAAAAAATCTTTATTTGAAAAAATAGAAATGGCTTAAATATTGTTAAAACTACAATCTGTGTCATTATAGGAAAATGTGCATTATTAAATTATATACAAATTATTAAATTATAAGTTTTAGCATTAAAACATCTTAATTTTAAAAACTATAAAACAGAAATCATTTAAATATAACTTCTTATAAGTTCCTATACCTCCCTGTTCTGTTTTAGCCATCTTAAGCAGCTAGTTTATTTTCTGTAGTTGTTGGAATATATATTGTAAAAAAAAATTTAGAGGGTCCTCTGTACTTCTACAATACCTGTTTTGAAAAATATTAGCTCAGTTTGATTGATATCTTTTAGCTTCCCATCACTTTTGTTTGGTGATCATGGAATATCCATTTGCTGCAAGAGGCAGTGTTAGGAGACATATAAAGCCTTTGTCCCTCTCAACATAAATATTTATGATGTGCAGATGTTGAAGGAAGGAGATAATACTATTTTTCCGGTTATCACAAAGCAGGCATTAAAGAAAACAGAAATAGATGTTGGAAAAATAGATTTTCAGAGTCTGGACAACAAGCCAAGCTGGCCTAAGTCTGCTCTTTATTACTTACTACCAATGCTGGAAATACTGGGCATACCTGGAAAAAAGAAGAAGAAGAAGAAAAAGAATATTGGTTAGGAATGGAAACATGTTGACACTAATACAGTAGAGCTTTTACATGGCTGCACTGATATTAAGATGAAGAATAAGTATCAAGAAGCAAAGGACAGAATTAGCCCAAACCAAGCATTTTATATACGGTAATCCCTGGCTTGTGTGAAACATATACACTATACACCTGTACTTTACACTATCATATATACAGATATTAGTACTATATATAGAGGTATATACAGATGTATACTATGTACACTTGTACGCATGTAGGCTCTCTTCTTACAAAGATTCATATGTGTGCATAGATATTTTGCCTTGTTAAGATATCGCCATCATGACTCAAGTGGATGAGGACTACACACCCTCATTGTGTATCCAATGAATACTAATGCTTGAATGAGGCTTCAAGGATCTTTATAATAAGTTACAAAAGAGAACAAGAGTAACACATTTAGCAGTAATTTTATGAAGTAGCTAAATAGCTTGAAAGTGAATTATGCATGGTGCGTTTAATACATTCTTAGAACAAGGTGGCATTTTCTCATAAGAATGGACTAGAGTACCGTAGTTTCTTGCCCACTCTAAAGAGAAAAGGAACCAATTAAATCCTGCAAGGCCACAGAGAATAACATTTATGAAAGACAGTCTGAATATGTAAGATCAACTGGTTCATCATTCCATCTGCAAAGGCAAAAGAATGTTCATTAAATACCAGAACAGAATAATAAAAGAACAGTTAATCCTATGTTTCAATCTGAGTATTATGTTCAGTATGCTTCAAGAACAAATTTACAATCACTATGGATTTTTCATGCACCCTATAACCTATAATTTAGCCGCAGACCCCTCCATTTTTTCCCTTGTAACTCAGCAACAGGTATACAGTAGGATATTGCTCAAAGGCTACAATAGATATCCAATAAAGCATTGTCCATGTAGTATGTTGGATGCAGATGTGGAATACAACACATTCCAATTGAAGTAATTAGTTAAATTTGGTTAATTTCTTTTCTGAGACATATATGGTACTGGAAGTTACAAACTGTGTGATTTCCCTCAATAGTACCAGAACAAGAGAACAAGGACCTGACTTTCAGCAAGGCTTGACCATTTACCCATTTAAGTTAACTACAGTCAAAGATAGAGAAAACAAATGGGATCTCTCTCTTTCTATCTCTTATCATCATAATGCCTAAGCATCCTTGTCTATATAGATAAAGTTGCTATTCTGAAATTCTATTCAAATTTCATTTTGAATGTCACTCTGATCAAATTTTGATAGCATACACAAACTTCCTAACCTGAGAAATCCTGCAGTCTCTTTTAGGAAAAAATCCAATCAGTTATCTGTTTTTGCGGGTGGATGCTACTTTTGTAATGTATAAATTGGGTTTGATAAGATGGGTGGAACTTCTAAAAAATAAAACAAAAGAGACATTCCCCTCACTAGAATGAATAATTGGGAGATATCATAGAAATTAGTGGAGATAAATTGAGTTTTCTATTTCAGAATTTAGAATTCAGAATGAGTTTTCTATTTCAGAATTCTGTGAGAGGAAAAAACAATCCCATAAATTTTCAATATGTTTAAGAGAGTAGCTTGAACACAGCTTCTAAGTTTTAATTCAGTGGTCTAAAGTGTCCTTTCCACTAGAAGTTAATGCTTTATAAAATATTTTCTCATTCTTTTTGAAGGCTCACTTTTTCTCATCTTGCTTGCTACGAATTTTATAATTTCATGCTCTCATCATGGCTTGTTACTTAGACTATGACTTTTACATTAAGCTAGATAAGGTTCTCTTTCCTGAAATATTCATTTGTGAGACTTGATTCCTTACAGCTGTTGCTTTGAAGTGTGAGATAACGTTCCGAATATGACATATTGCTGTTTTTGTCATAAACCTGAAGCATACTAAGAATTAGTACTTACCTGTCATTGCAGCTGAGTGGACATCTGTGAATTCATACAGATGGGCTATGAGACCATAGAGCAAGTTGGCAAACTTTTAATGTTTACAGAATTATTTAGCAAAAGTCCCACCCTCAGCTCTATGTAAATCACAGAACCACCCATTTCTCCACTTCCAAAGTTTGTGTTTTAATTGTATACAAACCAGAGCTATCAAATATTTATAAAATGCCATTTATCTCTATCCATCCTATCCAATTCAGCAGGAGAGCATGTTGTGGGTACAGTCAGTGAAGGAGCATTGACTGGTAGGGCTTAGAAAGAGAACCTTTTCTGCTATGGCACCATCTGTCCTTTGGAAGATCATTTCTTCAGGGATTAGATTGGCCGTGTCATTGCAGGCCTTCCATAAGGCCTTGAAAACTTAGTTTACGGCCTTTGCCTGTGGCCCTGGAGATGTTTATCTCGTTGGCTGGATAATTGGTTGGATGCAGAGGTGGCATTCAGCCGGTTCTGTCTGGTTCGGGTGAACCGTAGTGGTGACTGCGGGAGGCTCTGCCCATCCACATGGACGTAATGTGTGAGCAAAGAGCATGCACGGAAGGCTGTGCGCAGGCGCAGAGGAGGTGCATGTGTTCACATTTCCGAACCAGTAGGGAAGGTAAGTGAATCTCACCTTTGGTTGGATGATACCTGGCTCTTATGTGTTTTATTTTATTTTATTTTTATATTTTAGGTATGCTATTTATTTCATTGTAAGCTACTTGAAGTCACATATGTGAGATGGGTAGCTATATATAACTAATAAATACATACATAAATTACAAATTTTAATTTTATTTATTTATTCAAGAAATGTATATGGCTGCCCAGGTTACACAGGATGACTCTAGACTATTACAAATTACAAATTTACACTGCAAGGTTTAATGGCTGATTCTTTGCTAGCTTTTCCCACCCACCCATTCAAGAGTTCAGGTATGCAAATCTAATTACCAGGGATTCAAAGACATTGATAGATATTGTACTTTAATGCCTTTTCCCCTCATTTTTGTCTGCAATCTATACTGTGTTACTCTCAATATTCCTATTAAACACAGAAAGAGAAATGTATGGGTAGTGTTAAGAGTCAAAAGTATACTAAGTCCCACTTGATTTAGATAATTGTACTCCATCTCTTATCCATCTCATCAAAATTATTAGGTCCCCAGAATATAATTTTGAATGTACCCATAAACTGAATAATCCTACAAGAATGATTGATATTTGGAAGCAGGAGGAACAAAGTGTCTCTTATATAGTAATTACTATATAAGTATAGTATATAAAGATATTTAGAAGACATCAGATCCATTCTAAGGAACATTACACCATGATTTTTAAGAGCCAATGGACACATAGATGAAAATAAAACACATTTCTATGACAAACAATGCCTGAAATTCACACACATCTAAAACTGGCCACAACTCAACAAAAAGTCTTAAGATTAACAAAAATGCTGGGTTTATGCATGGTGAATAATAATAGTTAATCTAAAAACATTCTTAAAAAATAAACAATTTGTAACCTATTCAGGCTATCTAACTTCATAAAAAGGGGTTTAGTCAGTCAGTCTTCAATCAAGCAATTTAATGCATTATAAATAAAATTCATGTGAAAATCACTGATACATTATTTGGTAAAGAACAGTACAGTCACATGATGAGACATTTGCAATACATTTGTTAGTCAAATTGGGAAGTTGCCATAACATTTTCATAATTGGCTCACACACTTTCAAAATCACAGAAAATGGTTGGATCGTTGACCTCATAACAAAGTATTGAGTATCAAACTGAACCATTTCTGCACTTTTATTTAAAGATCAGAATTTGACAACCATGTATGAGCCAATGTTGAGTAGTAATTAGATAAAGACTGAAGAAATTTAACTTAAAATTCGGTGCATTAGATTTTTGGACATTTAATACTATCTCAGTTCTGTGTTCATAAAGAAAAACATATCTTACATGTGAACTCTGTATTTGTGTGTGGTATATGTACATGTGTGTGTGTGTACATTGCAAATTTGATAGAACAGAAGAGATAGATCACAATTTCCTTATTGATTTATTTGAACAGATAATTTCTTTTGCACTATCTTCTTGCATTGTCCAAGAATATAGCCCACTGCACTTATTCCAAATAAGTAAAGATGCATAACACTGGGCAAACCATAAAGATTTTAATATTCCAATAAACCATAGCATTTCAGACATGTTTTAAATTTGGTTCTGAATTTTTATAGGATTTTTTTTAACCCAAGGTCCCAAGGTTTTACAGTAGTAATGTTGTGCACTCACAGATATTTGCAGTGCCCTTAGGAATGGGCAGATAGGAACCTGGACTCCAAGGACGTCCCTGATAATTCTTCTTACATTTCCCACAATCTGGGCCTGTGGTATTGTGTTCACACTCGCATAGTAATTTTTTATTTTCAACTTTGCAGCCAGTGGCATGAAGATTACACTTGCACCTGATAAAAGAAAAAGCAAGACATTAGCACACTTTCAATTTAATTTCAGTCAGTGTTGTTCTGGCTGAAATTCAGTGATTGGCAATAAGTATACAAATAACTGAAGTCTACATAATAAAAAATGAATTTCTCGTGCTGAAATTTAACTTTGGTTAGAATGAACAGCCCAGAACTATTTCAAATAACTTGAACAAATGCAGTAAGAGATGTATCTATACTGTGTGTATTGAAATAACTTCAGGAAAAAGAATAGGAAATGAGTCTTGTGCTCCGATCAAAATAATTACATATATTTAATCCAGCATTATTCTACTTCATTCTAGAAACTACACATTTGACTTAATTCTAATTTCAGTCTTGTTATAAGTCTTGGCAATTGGAAGTTTTATTTTTGTATATATTGTATTATGTATGTGTACAGGAGTAGAGACTAACAATTGTCATGGATCTGCCTCCAGACCCCTCGTTAGATATGAATTCAGAGGTGGAAGAGGAGGATGAGCCAGATCCTGGCACCTCAAGGGAAGCAAGCACGGAGTGGCATTGGGGCTTGGATCAGGGAACAGAGGGCTTTAACCCAACAGAGCAGCCACAGCTGAGTTGATCGGATGGACGGCAGGCTGAGCCTGAGCCAAGGAAGTCGCAGCTGTAACAGGTTAGCTTAGAAACTCCAGGCAAGGGACATGAGCAGCTGCCAGCGAGTATGAGGAGGTGGAACCCATGCCTCCTTCCTATCCAAGGATATGCAAGGCAGAGAGGAGACAGTTGCAACAACAGTTGGCCAGAGTACTTGCAAGGAGTCAACTTTGTCCTCTGTGAAGGGCTGCATTTAATCCTGCCTATTTAATCCTGCCCTAAGAGATGGACATTGCTAGAATAATGTGTTTAGTTCCTTGGTCTGTGTTCTGTTCTTGTTCTATGTTTCTGTTTCATGTAACAAAATTCCAAACTTTGTTACACAAAACAGAAGCTGGAAATGTACACGGTAGGGGCTTTTTTGGAATTGCGGTGTGTATGTGTGTTGAATAAAATCCATTTACTGTGGTGCGTGTAAGTGAGGCATCACAACAACACATATTTCTCGATAATTAGTTCTCAAATTATATTTTCTAGAATTCTTCAGAATAACCTGTGACCGGTTAAGTAGCATGAATTAAGAGTGTATATACTTAAATATCAGCAAAAGAAAGAGAGGGAGGGAGGGAGAGACAGAGACAGACAGACAGACAGACAGAGAGAGACAGACAGACACAGAGAGAGAAGGGAGACATAAACTACCTGCTGTTGAGAAATCAACCTCTCTTCTTATTGTTTTTTGCCTTTAATTTGAATTATAACTAAAAAGCTGTTGAAAAAGAAGATGCCATTCAATAAAGATTATTTTATAGCCCTTCAGAGAAGAATGCTTGAAATAAAACGTTTTTCTGAGAGCTCTTGAAACAGGACTTTTTTCAAATAAGAAATCAGACCAAATTGAGAAGACTACACTAATTCCATCCTCATTTCACAGAATAGTCCTGAATTTATATCTCCCAGGTTGTTTTGGAATGCATACAGAATCTAGCTCAAGTTGACAAGTCAAATTCAAAGACAAGATTGCAAGATAGACATATAGTTCCTGAACACAAGAACTGTTATAAGCTTGACTGGCCAAACAATATTCCTACTTTTGTTATGAATAAAAGAATGAAAATTTGTGAAACTTCTTAGTTAATTTGACTAGTTTAGGTCTGATGGGCAAAAATTCATCATGCTTTGATGAAGCATGAAGACAAAGAGGCACTGTTGTATTCTGATCAATTAGTCTGTGTTGAGATGAGAATATGAGCCGTGTTTGCCAGTATCCTCAAAGTTCAGCTACCTGTCTAATAACCTTCTTCTTATTTCATTTTCTTATTTTTATGTTGATATTTTTACTGTATTGCAAAATTCTAATAAAAAAAGTAATTCCCCAAAACATGATTTTAAGCTCTTACCTTAATTTTTAAACATTCTCCCCTGATTTCTAACCCAGATACCAGAGCATTGTTCTGATAAAATGAAAAGCATCATTGTAAGTAAATCTTATAAGAACTCATCTTTAATAGTATGGAATTCCACCATATGATGACTCTGAAATAACGTAATATTAATCCCAACTAAATGGTCTTTGACTTAATTAACCCTCATTACCCCTATTCATTCTTACATGTTAGAGCTCAGGAGTTGTAAGCCAATTTTTGTTGTTATTTTCTTTCAATGTTCTTATAATAAAATGGGATTTGTATATGACATAATAATTCAGTGGAGTCATTAGGCTAGAATGACAGGGGGGCAGAGGTCGACCCCGAGGCCCCTTATATGTGGGGTGCCACAAGGATCGGTCCTCTCGCCCCTTCTATTCAACATTTATGTGAAGCCGCTGGGTGAGATCATCCGTGGTTTTGGGGTGAAGTACCATCAGTACGCTGATGACACCCAGCTGTACATCTCCACCCCAGACCACCCCAATGATGCCCTCGAGGTGATGTCCCGGTGCCTGGAGGCCGTACGGATCTGGATGGGGAGGAACAAACTCAGACTCAACCCATCCAAGACCGAGTGGCTGTGGTTTCCGTCGTCCCAATATAGTCAGTTGGTGCCATCTCTGACTATTGGGGGCGAGTTGTTGGCCCCCACAGATGGGGTTCGCAACTTGGGCATCCTCCTGGACTCACGGCTGTCTTTTGAAGAGCATATGACGGCTGTAGCCAGGAGGACTTTTTATCAGGTTCGCCTGATTCGCCAGTTGCATCCCTTTCTGGATCGGGACTCGTTACGCACGGTCACTCACGCCCTTGTCACCTCACGCCTGGATTATTGTAATGCTCTCTACATGGGGCTCCCCTTGAGAACCACCCAAAGGCTCCAATTGGTCCAGAATGTGGCCGCGCGGGTGGTAATGGGAGCAATGTGGCGCTCTCATGTAACCCCCCTCCTGCGCGAGCTGCACTGGCTCCCAGTGGTCTTCCGGGTGCGCTTCAAGGTTTTGGTTACTATCTTTAGAGTGCTCCATGGCTCAGGACCAGGGTACTTACGAGACCGCCTCCTGCCACCAATAGCCTCTCACCGACCAGTTCGCTCCCATAGAGAGGGACTCCTCAGGGTGCCGTCGGCCAAACAATGTCGACTGACGGCCCCCAGGGGGAGAACCTTTTCTGTGGGGGCACCTACCATCTGGAACGGGCTTCCCCCGGAGTTATGAAACATCCAAGACTTACGCATATTCCGCCGTGCCCTGAAAACATTTCTATTCCAACAAGCTGGTCTGGCCTAACTCTCCCTTTTTAATTGGCTTTTAAACTGGCTTTTAAATTGGGTTTTAAACCTCTTTAGATAAATTTGGATGTTTTTAATCTTTGAGCCTAAATTACTTAATCTGTTTCTTAATAGTTTTTAACTTCTATATGTATTTGTATTTATTATGGCTGTTCACCGCCCTGAGTCCTTCGGGAGTAGGGCGGTATACAAATATGAAAAATAAATAAATAAATAAATAGAAGCCAAGTGATGGTGAGTTCTAGTCCTGATTTAAGCACAAAATCACTCTCTCTCAGAACTTTTTGGAAAACTTGTAAAAGACTGAAAGCTTTGGAACACTTATAAAGAAAAATGCAGGGACTTATTCAAGCAGTCACTAGAAGTCAATACTGACTTGAAGGCAGCCTCCTTCAAAAATGTAATACAAATAATTGGAATGGGAACTCAAGTAATTCTGACAATTTCAAAAATGGTTTTGAAACAATTTCAAAAAATTATGACAATATAAAGTTTAGACAAAATCTTGTTAAATTAATTACTGGCCAGTTTTTGAGATTCCTAGGCTACCTCTTACCATTCAAAGTGTATTTCATATATGTGAATTAAATCAGAAAACGTCTCGAATACCTTAAAATGGCTAAAATCTTCTAAAAAGAATAAAGATGCTTTTAGCATGAAAGCCCCATTTAATCATTGCAATTTCTTTTCAGTAGATGTCACAAATGGTTTAGAATTTGTTTCGCAGAGAGGCTGAAGAGGTGCTCAAAAATTTAGTATCCCTGGCTGGTTATCCTTTTGATTATTTTAGATTAGGTATTGAGAAAGATTCTTCTGTGGGCATTTGACACTAATTCCATGGAGTGACTAGTAATTACAGAAAAGCAACTGAAAACCTGGGCACAATTTTAATTAAACTATTACCGATGAATGGCTGCCAAATTTTGTTTTCATTTAAGAGAAATCTGGCCAGAAGCAAGTAGCAAACTATTTACATGTATATCCTCCAGAATGAAGCAAACTTTTGTTAGTTTTAAATAATTCTAGATTAAATAACTAGGCACCTAATATATGCATTTCTTCCATATTTTAAAGAATGTCATTTTCTGAATAGTTGTTCAATATACTTCTAGTAGGAATATTAACAAATCTATATATATAAAAGCCAAATCCATTCACTCATCTCCAGGACTGTAAAGCCTACAAACTTGAAATTTGGTATGTATGTTCTTCTTGGCTTCTAGGTTCTCACTAAGAAAGGATTTTTCGAAATTACCATCAGATCATTAGTATTTCATATACAGTATATTCATATACAGTATATTAACACGCTCTGGTGCTAAGGAGTTAGACGTTCTACTTCCCTTCCTCACCTGAAAAGTTCCAACTGCCACTTGCCTCACATTCCATTACCTCAGTTCAAACTGGCAGATGTCCCATTCCTTCACTCAGGGGCAGTATGGGGCTCCTTACAGTACTAAACGTCGGTACCTCACCAAAATGTCTACGCCTTCCACCTATGGAACTGCTTCCGGACTCAAGGTGGTGGGAGAGATATTCCCTTATGAGTTTCAATCACTGACCACCACTGACCCAATGAATTGTGAACTGAAATTCTCCTGCATAGTGTCCCAGCCCCAACTCACTTCTTACACTGACCTCCTCAGTTCAGACGAATCTGTTCCTTCTACTGTAACACCAGTTAAAGGGAAAAGATTGTCTTTCTGCTGCCTGGAAGTACAGCGGATGCTTCCAAATGACATCTTTTGGAGCCAGAGAGGTGAAGGAGGTAAATTTTATGCCAACATTCGAAGTGCAGGGGCAGGTCTATCACAGGATAGGGAGTAACATGGCAGGGCCTTGGCAGCAGCCTTCATTTCTCCAGATATACTGTACTTTGTTGGTGATGATGACGAGAGTCTGTCAAGACCATGGGGATGCTACAATGGTTGTAAGTCATAAGTAGCGAAGCACGGGTATCCAGCTATTATCTTATAATTAAAATTGCCAGGGAAACATTGTTGTACATAGCCCACAGTTTAAGAACAATTAATGTGCTAGACTTCTTTATGTTTTATTTTCTTCAGGTTTCTTGAAGGAAAAGGGCCATGTAGTGGAAACAACCTGAAAGATTGTTTCATTGTTCATTTGATTTTTTCACCGAAAGACTTTCATATCCTATTGAATAAGATCTTCCCAGACAGACAATTACAATTTTTAGATGAACTTGTCAAGGCAGGAATATGGAAGCCAAGAACCATGGTTTATCACAAGGCCACCAACACTCCACACATTCTTAGTTTCAACACTAACCATCCATTGTTACACAAAAAGAGTTGTGTCAGAACACTATATGGCAGGGTGAGAACCAGGGGTGAAACGCTCCCGGTTTGGACTGGATTGCCCAATCCGGTAGCGATGGCGGCGGGTAGTTTGGAGAACGGGTAGCATGCCCAGCTGAGCCGCACGATCACCAGAGTTTTTTTTTTAACTTTTAAAAGCATTTTTTCTACAACCTCTTCCGATGAAAAAATGCTTTTAAAAGTAAAAAAAAAAAAGCCTCTGATGATCGCGCGGCTCAGCTGGGATCATCAGAGGCTTTTCAAAGCATTTTTTCCTGCAACCTCTTGGCCAAAGAGGTGGTAAAAAAAATGCTTTGAAAAGTCTCTGACGATCCCAGCTGAGTTCCCTGATCGGCAGAGAGGCCTTTTTTAAAGAGCCTCTCTGGCTGAGAGAAATAAGGATTATTCCTGTAAAAAAGTATAACCTGAGCTACGCCATTTTAAGTGCCTTATTTTACCTTGTATAACCTGATTATATAATTTAGCTAAGAGAACATAATAAGACTTAGGAAAATGGGAGAAGGAACTGTGTAATTCCTGTGTATGTTCTTAAATGCTGATGTATGTTCTTAAAATATGCTTGTTTTGCAGGAAATCTTCTTCTGGGTCAACATGCCCTCATTAATAAGGGGAAGTACGCATATATACGCATACGATCCCACCTGAGTTCCTGATTGGCAGAGAGGCTTTTCAAAGCATTAGAAAAAATGCTTTAAAAAGTTAAAAAAAAAAAAGTTGGCCATGTCCACCCAGTCACATTACCGCCCCCCCCAACCAACCACAGAACCGGTAGTAACAGATTGTACATTTCACCCTTGGTGAGAACCCACTGCAGTTAGTACCCAGCAAGCTAAACAAATGAAGATACATCATTTGTTTAGCTTGCTGCCATATATCAAAAACATTTCAGAAGCAATAGAATACAGTTTCCGAGATCAGCATGTGGGCATCTCACACTGCCCAGAGACAACTCATGCATTGCAAAGATTGCTTGGAGGTGGGAGATACTTCTAATTTTAATCTACTGGATCCCCAGCATGGATTGCCCCTGTGACTATGTAGGACAGATGAGAAGGAAGCTAACCACCAGATTGCAAGAACACAAGTGAGTGGTCAGACGAGGAGACCCAAACTCATTGGTCATTGCAATGAACAAGGATATACATTTAATTTCACAGCTACTAAAATTGTTGGCAGAGCAAGTAGAAAGGTAGCCATGGAAATGATTAAAGCCTAAGAAACTGGCCCCTTGTCAGTCAACAGGAATTGATTTACCACTGCCTTATCAGGTACTTATGAGATGAGGACTTGGCAGCACAAGGAAACAACAGCCAATGACTTAATAGCCAGCTATCAACACCCTAATCAACAAATAAAAAGCCATGCATAACCAGGCACCATATAAATACTATGCACAGAATAGCCCAAAGCACACATTCAGGTAGAGAGAAGTTCCCTGAGGATATGGGCTCTAGCATAAATCCAAAAGCTCAGGAACTAAACCTCTGGTCCTGGTGATTGACCCTGATTGAATCCTACAACCTGCATGCTTCAGAGCATACTGAAAAATGCTTCTGAACATATTATATGTTCTAAGTATGAATATCGTATCTGTTTGAAACACCTTAAAGCAGCCACCTCTTAGAATCAGTCTCAAGAAAAGACATAAAGAACTACAGACAGGTAGTCTACGGACAGATCCCCGCTTGATCCCTAGTAGTACATAGCTACATTTGCCTAAGCAGTACAAAAACATTTGCCTAAGAAATATTACCAAAGTCTCTGTAATCATGTAATATAGGAAGCCTATAAGACCACATGTTCCATATTTTTCTCACCTAGGCTTCTCCAGCAGCATGAAGCCAAGCCCTTGTCCCGATAAACCCCTTTTATTTAATTTACAGTGAATTCCTCTCCAGCAAAGTCTTTCCTCCCCCCCAGTCTTTCAAGATAGTTCACAATTACCCACCTCTATCAGGCTTGGAGAGTGGCCAGGCTGAGCAATACTTGGCAAGAATGCAGTAATAAACTAAATGTCCCCTGCAAACTCCACTCCCCTTTCGCTCGTCTTTTATTCCCTCTGGGAGGGGCCATTCATCGTCCACCTGTGGCCTTACTCCCAAGTCGACCCTTGTTCTTTAGCTGTTCCCTTTGTCTGGCAACTCTGCACATGCACACACTGGGAACAGGCTCCACCTGTTTGTCTCACTGATGTCTGACTCCAAAGGCAGCTGATAACTGGCATACGACCCTGACCCCCTCTCTGCCTCTGACACAGACCCCTCATCAGAGTTCCTACCCAACCTCTTCACTATCCGAATCTGCTGTCAGATCCGCTGGCGGGCCACAACACCTATCCGTGATTTAAATATAAGCAAACAACCTGTGTGTTCATATTAGAAAAGAAAGTCAAGGAATGAAACTCTAAAACTTCTAGCATCTCAATGTTTAGCTGTACCCTTAGTAATAGTTTTCCTGGATTTCCGGGGAAGAATGGAAATTTAAAGATAGCTTTACAAAAGTGGAGCTGACAATTGTGCTAAGAACAGACAAGGAGAGGATGCAAGATTACCCAAACTGTGCTCCATACAATGGTATGGAGTTTCAAGAGGATACTGCAGAGCAGCGGTCTATGGAACCTCGAGCCAAGGAAATTTGCCATACTTGCTCCAGTCACAAACAGTTTTTTTCAAAGGACACTAAATTTGCACTTCCCTTGCTAATCATTTTCCAAATTGTCTATTCATTGCTTTAAAGAAGTTAAGACATTTTCAAAATGACAAAGCTGGAAACAATGGGTTTCCATGTGTGCCTTCAATTCTTAATACAAGAAAATGAAACTGTATCTTTACAACCTTTAAGAATTTAAAATACAGTAAAAAAAACAAGAAAGGGTTTTTGTCTATAGAAAATTTTAAATAGATTAAGGGCTCAAAAATCATTGGAACATTGGATTTTGAATATTAAGACTTCAAAATTAATTTTTTAAAAATATATCCATTTTTGTGAGAAAAAAAGCCTCTATTTTTGATATTGGAAGCATAACAAGACAAGCAACTTATAAAATAATGTTCAGAGACATTTTGGAGGAATTGCATTGAGACTTTGAATCAATAGTATTAGCTGTATTGGGTCTTCTTAGGAACATCTGTTTCTAGAAAATGTTACAGAAAAAGATAAAAGACAAATATGAATTTGTCATTACGCACACACAGACACACAAACACATGTATGGCTTTAAAATTTGAGAAAGAAATAAAAATGACAATCTCAGAGAGCAAATAATAATAATTATTATTTTGCTGGATTTACAAAAAAGGCTGTTTAATATAGTGAAGAAATTTTAAACAAAGATCAAGAATCATCTGAATGGATTAAAGAGCAATGCTGGAAACACAAAGTTGGCTTATTGGATCCGGATTAAAAATAGGACATGTTATTTTGGGTGGCTCTTTTTGGGATTTGCTGACATCTGGAATGGAAAAATATTACGTATGGGATTGCTTACAGTAAACATGATGTTTAAGCCTTTTTCCCTAGTTATTTTATGTAGTCTAATTTGACAGCACTTAAAATGGTTTTGTATCTAACTGTCCTTTTACTTAAAGCAAGGAATTTTTATGAACTTGTTCTCTTTAAAAGAGAAATTATCCTTATTTGTCATGTTACATTTCAGTCTAATAGCAATAGCAATAGCACTTATATACTGCTTCACGGTGCTTTTACAGCTCTCTCTAAGCGATTTATAGAGTCAGCATATTGCCCCCAACAATCTGGGTCCTCATATTACCCACCTCAGAAGGATGGAAGGATGAGTCAATCTTGAGCCTGGTGAGATTCGAACTGCCGAACTGCAACTAGCAGTCAGCTGAAGTAACCTGCAGTACTGCACTTTAATCACTGCGCCACCTCTGCTCTCCTAATATCTAATGTTGATATTAGAATCCTGGGATTCCTTTATCTATATCAGGGGTGTCAAACTGGCAACACCTGGGCACAGGATGCATCACGGCTCCACAAAGGCAAAAAAAGTCACGATACGTGATGTCACGTGACACGATCAAGTTTGACACCCGCGATCTATATACTACTAAAGCTCTTCATTTGTCTATC